GTCAATGTAAGTAATACATTGTAAGTTTAAAATGAATGTTATTGTAAAGCTTTATGATTGACCTGTGGATAAATGTGACCAGGTGACCTGGTGGGAGTTCATTGTTAGAGGTCTGGATATTGTGACCATCGTAGTGCCTCCTGCCCTGCCTGTTGCCATCACCACAGGAGCTATTTATGCTCAAAGCAGGTTAAAGAAAGACGGTATTTTCTGCATTAATCCACCACGCATCAACGTCAGTGGAAAAATCTCAGTCTTCTGCTTTGACAAGGTGAGACGGGAATCTTCTGGCCACTGCACATGTTGATGCTGCAGAACTGAGTCGGATTTGTTTCCCCAGACTGGAACTCTGACTGAAGAGGGTCTGGATGTGTGGGGAGTGACGGAGGGAGGACCTGCTGGTTTCTCTGAACTGGTCCAAGACCCTAAACTCCTGCCTCCGGGTCACATGCAGTCTGCCCTGGCCTGCTGTCACACTGTTACACTGCTCAAAGGTCAGCCCCTTGGAGACCCTTTGGAGCTCAAGATGGTGGAGTCTACAGGCTGGGTATGATACCATTCAGCTACTTTTATTTATTTCCGAAACCTCTTAGTGTTGCAGGAAAAATGACACACAGATTCTAACATCTTTTACAGCATCTGAATGAAGTAAAAAGCACATTAAGATCAATATTCTTGTTATGGATAGCTCATACTTATGCACGTTTTATTAACTCAATGGGTTTTGATTTTTAGACTAAAAATCATGTGATAAAAAACAAGTACTATCGCAATGCAGCTTAGAAGTTTAAATTCATCTGTCATATATAAGATACAAAACAAAATCATCATGCAACTTATTTTGTCTTGTTAGACAGAATTAAAAGGATGGTTTTAGTGTACACATCTGTTTTCTCAGGGGGTCCGCAGGGTTGTAAAAGGTATTAAAAAGTAATAAATGTCATCCGATGAGTTATTAATTTTTAGAACAGCTACCGAACAATAGTTTTTTTTCTTCTAAAAATCCCATAACAAATATTTGTATATAGGTCAGTGTTTATATTGAAGCAAAATTTCCCTATGTGTCCATTAACTAATAATACCACACTTATTACAAAAGTTGAGTAAGAAAATGACATTAATCATTACTTTATAATTAGTTACACCCAAATGAAATTCAAGAGGTTGCTGCTACATTTGCAGCTCAAAGTTGTGTTGGTTTTAAAAAATATTGTGATGGTATTGAACAAGTATTAAAATGTAGCTTTAGAACTCAGTTCCTTTTCTCTATAAAGCACTGCATCAGTTAAACCTGTTTAGCATCTTCCTCTTCGTAGATGAGTGTCATCCATTCATAACAGTCATTTACCAACCCATGATTCATTCCAGTAGTTGAACATTTGTCAAATTTCCTTTTGGAAAAAAACAAAAATGTTCAGAGCGCTTGCGTGTTGCATTTAAAATGTGACAGATTTATGCATTTGTTTCAGAGAACATTACCAACGATTTTTCTCTGAATATAAATTGAGATATTTTGAACTCAATTTTCTTGAAGTTTTGTTGCTAGCAATGCCTAACACGTTTTCCGACTCTGTTGGAGGTCAAGACTGTAGTCTTTGAATCACTCATCTGTTCTCTTTAGCTTTCTATCCCTGATTAGCTTAAAACAAGTGGTTTGTTGTCTATCTGTCTTCCCCATCTGCTGCCAATTACAAGATTTATTGCCAAGAAGCATTTTTACAACGAAGAAATAATCTACCAAACACAGCTTTCACTGTAATGCGAACAAATTGATCAAACAAATAGCTTTTATTAGTAATTTAGACATAAACGAAATTTCAAAAGTTGGCATAAGTTGCTAAAACATTATAGTGTGACAGCCTTAAGTTTGGGTAATGCCAACATTTGCAAGTCCCAAACACCACAGTGTGAGAACCACATTATTAACAAATCAACTATTTATTTTAAAGCTTTTGTCATGTAGCAAGACAAATGAAAATATTGCCAGAATTATTCATTGAAAATACTTTTTGTTCCCCAGATTCTCCAGGAACCAGAGGGAGACGGGGATGTTGTTCATGCAGAGTTTGGAGGTTTCAAAGTTTTAGCTGTTATGAGACCTTTGCCTCAGCAGCCTCACTTTCAGGGAACTGTGAGTAAAATATCCTGTCCCGTCAAATTCAGGGTTACAGGATCCTCCAGCAAGACATAAAGCCTAAAGATAGGAGTGAAAAATCAATCATCATCCTTGTCTTTTGAATCAGTCTTCACTCCAACATTAATTAATTCAACTTTCATTTTTGCTCTCAGTCGTCCAGCGAAGCAGTGGCCATCATTAAGAGGTTTCCATTCTCCTCGGCCCTGCAGAGGATGAGCGTGGTGACGGTGGCCCACGGGGGGCGCTCTGCTCTGGCTTTTCTTAAAGGTTCCCCAGAGATGGTGGCCAGTCTCTGTCGAGCCGACACAGGTCCAGTCAGAAAAGTCTTACTTGCATAAG